GAGGCAAGTTTTACCTACGCCCATGTACCTTCACACGCCAGTGACTGCTGTTTACCAGCGCACGGGGAGGCAAAGAACGAAACACGGTGGGAAGAGGAACAAGGAAAATCGTGGGCACAGGGCTACGGGGTGGAGGGCGGCGGAGTGTAAACGAGGAAGAGGATGCGAAAAAGGGGGAAGTATCCAACGCATCCTCTCCTCCGCGCCCACCGAGCCAGCCAGCGTCCCCTCGCCCCAATTACCGTGCCCATCGCGCACCAGCTCATCCACGCTCGTAATTTGCATCCGACCTCTATTTCCTTCGCAGCCGTCGAATTACGTGTCCCTACCCGAAGGCACGGAGTCGGCGGAGGGTCAGAGGGTGGTTTAAGAACACTTCCTTGTGTTCCCTTGCGTCCCGACAACTATGACGACGACCGGGGAACATTTTGCAGGGTTTGCTTAAACGTTAAGCGGCCGAGCCGCAGGTTACACGGACTACTAACAATGGAAGAGGGTTTGAGACACTGAGGGCTGGGAAGTGTGTGTACTGTGTGTCCTTTTGGGGTGTACTCACGAGGCACACGATCTACGAGGATCTGGCTCTCGGTTAGGGGATGATGCTCGTCGAAACGTCGAGCGACTCGCATCCTATCAACGATTCCGTTCCTGTTCTCCTCTCGAGTCCTGGCAGCGAGGACCCGTACGGGTTCCTACGGTTTATCACTCCGGCAACACCCACTTTCTCCTCTGGCCTCGTAACCTCGAGGGCTACTTTTCTTTCTCTCCCTCGCTAACTGTCGTCGAACGCGAGGCAGCAGCACTACTCCGACACTACTACCACCACCACCACCACCATCCGCGCACCACCACGATACGGTTCCCTCAACTACCGACGGTCACCAACACGATCGGAAACCACCACCACCACCGCCACCACCATCATCATCGTCACCACCACCACCAACGCCACGGCCACTAACCATCAACACCAATGCCGCTGGCTGCCACGAGTAGCAGTTTCGTTACTGGCGACCAGTTCGCGGCTCGATGGGCTGGGATTATTATTTTTCTTTTTCTTAGTTTTCCTTTTGTCTTTTCTTTTCTTTCGTTTTCCTTGTCCTCCTACCCCCGTACCATGTTATCAATCATTTCACTCGATCGGTCCAGCACAGCGGGTTTAGTGCCTGTTTCTGGCCACTCCTCGCGTTGACACGACGCGTGACCGTCCGGAACCAGCAGCAACCCTCTTTGGAACCGCGAGGCTACACGCGGGCGACCTACGAGCATGGGACGATCCCGTAGCTCGCTGCGGAAACGCCACCGTGAGCTGGCCTATCTACGCGCCTGCCTGCGCTACCAAGCCTCGAACGCCCGCCCTCCTTCCGCCCCGCCGCGGCGCCTTCTGGCCAGTCACGATAGCAATATATGGGCGATCGTGACACACGCGTGCCCGTGACACGTCCCAGCATGCGCCCTTCTACGCGCGCCGAGCACCGCACGCGCCCGAGTCCGGCCTAATTCCCTCGGAGCAGTCCGGTGTCGCTGCTCTCGAGATACAAACTAGGGAGTTTCGTTCACGACGGCGCGGAACGGAGGGAAAACACTGCTGGATCGACGGATGAATTTTTGTTCTTTTTATTTTGAACATGACATTGATAATTCAGAGATCAAACATTTTAGGTACTCTAATTTCATCTTAATGCATTATTTGAACATTTCTAGCTACGTTCTATGATTTTTACTGTGGATCGAGATGCTTAAAGTACCTTTTCTAGGTTATATTTGTGATTTCAAGCGTTTTTATCGTAGTTTACTAGTCATCGTAACGATTTGGTACGTATTTCACTTTTTAGTATGAATGTACGGATGTACCATTTGAATTTCCCGCGAGAAGAGCCTGCTCAGGTCAGGATTCCCCGTTGATCTAGGGATTTTTAAGCACTATGTGATACCTAACCTACTGCGATTGAAAAACTAATTAACATAAATATTATATGAAGTATTCTTTTTATAAAATCCTGTGGAGGGGAAAATTTTGTTAGAGAGGAAGCTTTGAGTCGATTTTATGGTCGTGTGACCTCACGATCACTGTACGATCATTAGCTATAATCAAAGATTTTGTGGTAGCTTAGACCACAATTCTTCGTTAGTAAAACAGACCTAATTGAACTTTCTCTGAATACTTAATATTCTCATAATGTATGGCATGTCCTTCAGGATGTACTATTGCGGTGGACACATTTCACCGTCCTTATATGAGGGGCAGCGCATCCATCGGGTAGCACAGTCGGCATCGTAGAACAGTGTCATGGCGTGGAAACAATGACAGAAAGAGTGTTCCTCACCGAAGAATCCGGTACTAAATTTAATATGTGGGGCTGTTCCCGTTGTAACAGAGGCTTCCTAATATTGTTCCTGATTCATGTGATCGCATTTCAAAGTTTCATATGTAAGTATTTATCCAGAACTCAGTACTTCCTTTTTTTATCATCCGTTAGAGGATCCGAGTGGTCCACGCGTGTGACGCACCTATGCATGGAACTAGTTATCCTGCATGCTGCGCCTAACGCGCATGCGCCGCGGGAATTTCGAAAACGTTGCTTCCATTGTTCTCTCCGATGCTAACGTTACGTTTCATTTCTTCTTACAGATTACCAGGAACGATTCGAATGGCAGGAACTTAGAAGTAAATTGGAATCTATGATTATCGAACAACGAGATGCATACGGGTTAACGTATAGCATAGTTAAAAGATTAGAGGGTCATGGTATACTCGGTGGCAATACTAAACTGGACCATACTAAAAAGCCTACAATTTACGCCATTACGCCTACCTTCGCGAGGCCCGTCCAAAAGGCCGAGTTAACTAGGTTATACCAAACATTTTTGCATATACCTAATTTCCATTGGATCGTCGTTGAAGATGCGGAAATGAAGACGAAATTGGTTACACGGTTCTTGGAGAACAGTAGTTTAATTTATACTCATTTGGCCGCGTCAACGCCATCTAGCTATAAGTTAGGTAGGAATGACCCTAACTGGAAGAAACCGCGCGGTGTTGAGCAACGAAACGCTGCACTACGCTGGCTTCGAGAGAATCTAAAAGTAACTGACCAGGGGATTGTATTTTTCGCTGACGATGACAATACGTACTCGATCAAGCTGTTCTACGAGGTAAGAACATTAACGGCAGAATGATCGGTCCAGTCACGGAAGCATTGCATAACACGTGTTACAGATGGAAAAGATTCAAAAAGTCGGCGTATGGCCAGTGGGTTTGGTTGGTGGTTTGATGGTAGAGAAACCGATTTGTGATAACGTTACGAATAAGGTAGTCGGTTTCAACGCGGCCTGGAAGCCGGATCGTCCATTTCCGTTGGACATGGCTGGATTCGCTATTAATCTACGTCTCCTATTAGAACACAAGGATGCAATGTTTTCGTATGATGTTCCGGGAGGATACCAAGAGAGTGAGATTCTGAGACAAATCGTCACTAGGGACGAATTGGAACCACTGGCGGATTGCTGCACGAAGGTACGTGCTATATGTTATTAATCACACATTAACGGTTAAAATAATTATTCACTGTTCACGCTTGTTTCACTTCGGTACTTCAGCCATTTAAAAAAACATAAGCAATTTATGGCGACATCTACGGTAAAATTCTCAAGCTACTAATCAATTGGTATGAAATTTTAATCGTAAGATGGCATAGTAATACCGTTCTTTAAAATGATTAAAAAAACGTCATTTGTTTGAAATATTAAACCTTAACTATTTATTAAATACAAGTAAAAAATCCAATTTTGAATATTAAATTATTTTAAGATTTCTTCACTGATATAATTCAATACTATGTACCGCTGCTACTTGTTATATATATCGTAAACATTTTTCTACAGTATGAAAAATGAAAAAAGGGGTTTAAGAAAGAGTAACAAATTTTTGTTTATGTAGAAAACATGTTCTTTATATTCGAAATCATTTTATCAGTTGAGCACATTATTTTACAAAGACGGTCATATCAATATCAAACAGAATTTTTAATGTTCCTTTAGATGATATGAATTGAAACATTCTCCTATATGTAATGGCACTTTGCAATGTTTACACATGTACGATGTTTCTTTTCGAATTTTATTTAAATAACATACTTTACATCTTCGTCGTATCCTTTTCGACATTCCTGCTATTTTTACCAAGTGATGTTGTCTTAAATCACCTGAAAATCTTTGCAATGAATCGAAACGCGGGGTGCGCGTTACAGAAGACGTTCCTGATATAGAGGGGCTATCGAGGTTAGGCTCCGATTCTAATACCGTTTTATCTTCAATCCAAGCTGTAGCAATATTTTCTAAAAATTCTTTATATTTAAGTTTGCTGTTACGGTTAATATTTCGATAAACTTTAAAGGCATTAAATAAGCCACAGTTGAATAAATATAAAGCAACTTTTTTTGTCCATTTTCGAGTTTTCCTGAAAATTGGATAGCACGCTATATATCGATCTGCTCTGTCTACTCCTTTCATGTGTTGATCGTAATCTATTATGCACTTTGGTTTTTGAATGTGTTGACCGGTCTTGCGATTTATAATTCCAGTATTTATTACATCGGAGTTATGTATTGTCGAAATCATACGTATATCTTTTTTTTTGTCAGTTTTCCACAACTGAATGAGTATCTCTCCTTGACGTTTAAATCGAGTTTCAAACATATTCAATTTACTTTTTTTTAAACTTGAAGGTAAGCCTCTATTTGCTCTTATAGTTCCACATACTTTAATTTTCTTTAATAGTAATTGTTTTGCAATTTCAACACTATTGTAATAATTATCCATGTAGATATGATACCACATATTAGAAACATTTGATACAAGTGCTGATATTGTGCTTTCCAAACTTTTAGTATCTGAATAAATATCAAAATTGCATACATAGCCTGTACTAGATTCACATAGCATTCTAATAAGAATACCATATTTTGTTATTTTAAATGGATTATATACTTGAAAATTCAATCTGCCCCTCCAAGGTATAATATCTTCTTCTAATAATAATTTTTGCATAGGTTTATAAACATCATTAAATTTCTGTTTGAAATGGTTTACAATTGGCTGTATTTTAAACAATCTATCAGCGTTACCAGGCATATTATCATTATCAGAGAAATGTAAACATGACAATATTTGACGAAATCTATTGCGGCTCATGACTTTAGAAAAAATTGGTGTTTCTATGACTGGGTTGGTGGACCAATAGTCAATTAATTTACCTTTCCTTATTAGACCCATTATGATGATTAAACCAAACCATTTTTTTAATTCAGGTATAGTTAGCTCAGTCCACTTTCCAGTGCTTTTTGAGGTTCTATATTTGTATGAATTCTTTGCATAATATTTATTAGTTTCTGTAACAATTATTTGAAACAAATCATCTGTGAAATATAATTTGGCAACTTGCTCTATACTTTCTCCATAAATGGGCCAAATTTTGATGCCTGGAGAACCTTCAAAAGGTTCATTATTTCTAGGCGAGTCATCGTCAGACCATTCTAATGGATTGTCATCCTTTTCTTCTGAATCGCTAGATTGTGTTTGTAAGATATGAGATCGCTTTTTGTTATTTAATGTTAAATCCTCTAAATCACTATCACTAAAGGAATTAAAGTCACTATCACTTAAAGCATCACAGTTTTCATAGTTACTTGGTACATCAGACAAACAATCTTCATAATTTTCCCATAGGAAAGTTTCTTCTTCATTCGTCATTTTTTTTAAGAATTATAAAATCTGTAATATTTGTATGGGATAAAAAATTGAATTTCAACTAAATTCAGATTGTACAATATAATAAAAGCAAAAGGTTTAACTATGATGATCTTTAACACAACTGAATTTTCGGTTATGTTACATTGTAAATAAAATCGAGATTATACAGATCTAGCAAAATCTTTACTATAGACAGGAGGGAGTTATAAAATGAAATATATACTCTTTATTGCTTACCTATACAGTATTATATGAAAGTAGGAACAATTGGATTCTCGTTGGTCGTATATACAAATAATTGAATTTCCAGTAAAAATTTGTATAAAAAAATTGATAACATTATGTAATATATATATATTCAATTGTGAAGTCTCAATAATGAAACGATGTAAAACATTTAAAACTTCAAAATAAAACACATTTTATTCGCTGTTAAGAAGTCGCGATACTTATGACGCCATATAACGTCATAGAACGTTAACGCTTATTATTATTGTTCGTGACGCCATATGGTGTCGCCGGATGTTAATGTATCGTTATCGTAGCAACTTAATCATTTCCATTAACTGTATAACATCAGAAAACTAGAATGAGCAATCTGTCATAGTAAATAACTTTTTGTGGTAAAAAATGTTAATATGTAAAAAGAATACCTATAAAAATAAGACAAAAAAATTCAGTTTCATAGTAGTGATTAATGTTATATTGAGGTCCAATTGATTGATAATATCTATACTGATATTATCCAATATTAATTATTATGCATATTATATTTTTTAGTTAATATATTACTCCTAATATTTATTAGAATTAATGATGAAACATCATGGTGGCGCCATGCCATGGTTCAACTATAATACCAATCGGCTAGTAGCTTGAACGTTTCGCCACTGATGGCGCAATATGACTTTTCTACCATACTTTCCGTCACGCAGATGTGCACTTACTAAAAAATATTTAAGAAAAACGTTAACAGCGATAATTGTTAATGAATGCTATCAATGTAGTAGTATTATTTTTAAGGTATTTTACTTTGAATTAAACTTTTGACTTTATGCGGTCACAACTTTTGATAACGTGAATATAAAATTTGATTGTCCTCCTTAAAAATTGATCTATCGTAAATATTGAACACTACTTCTACTATAATTCTATAGAAAAATGGCAGTGGCGCTATAACAATATTCAAAAGTGAATGGACTATTTGTTGAACAGTTTGATTCTAGATTTACCTATAAATTTCACCGTTGCATATACCTGCTATATAATTTATGAAACATTTTTTTCAAGTGTTCACCGTATAACGCGATTCGTATTCACTCTAATTACATATTTAATTAATTAATCTATCAAGAACAGGAAACATTTAGTCAAATTTACGAATCCTTTAAGTTCTCTACCATTGAACTAACGATGGTACATGCTAATTCTTCAAATTTGTTTCAGGTCTACGTGTGGCACACACGCACAGAACCGCCACAACTGAACGTGGAACAACTACTAATAAAGAAAGGTAAACGTTCCAACCTAGGCATCGAAGTGTGATATACGTACAGTATCGATATTATAGTTTTAATACGTTCTTTTTCTTGCGCCCGTTGCGAAAGCCTATACAAGTGATAGAGTAGCGTTTGCAAATGAACGAAATGGAACAGCGAATTTTATACGTGCTTCTTTGATTACTTGCTCCCGGCCATGTAAGTAGGTACTTCCCCCGTTTGCGGAGAAATGCAGTGCCATAACGTGTAGTCGCTTATAACTGCATACTCGATGATAAGAAATAGATAATACTCTAGGCCAATCACAACGGCTCGTCCACTGTCGTCCGAACAAGAATGTTTCTTTTTTAAATTTTTATACGCTGTTAGCATTAACAATAAGACGTTTTTTTTGATACGCTTGTCAGACATGTGTATTGTCTCTTCGCCAAGAAGAAAAAGAAGGGAGATTATCTCATGGAAAACAAAAATACATATTATATATATACACTCATGATGAGTATATATATGTATATTCTATATTATATGAGTATATATATATATATATATACTCACACATATGAACTGACTATAAGAGAGACGTGAATTATTGACCTTGAAAATGTTCTTTATCCTTTATTTAGTCGAGAGTACGTTTCCTTGACGCGTACAGAAAAAGCATACATAAAAAATATGCCTTACACCTACGAACTTTAATAATACCTCGTAATAATATTTATTTTTTGTTAGCTTTTCATTTTGTTTCTTTTAAACTGGAAGAGATGCGCAATAATA